CCGTTTTTCCACCGGCGGTACAGCGAAGCGTCCAGCTTGGACTGCGTCCGACATCAATGATGAGTGTGCCCTGGAACTAATTTCGCTTTCCGCTTACAGATGGAAAAGGCACCATTCATCTTAAACTTTGGCTCAGATGTGTTGAAAAACGCAAGGTGTTCTCTGAAAAACAGTACCGCGATTATTACAAATAAAAAAGATGGGGATCGGTGGCCGAGTAGAGGTGGGATTAGTTTTTTCTACAAATAAAAAAATCAGGAAGGTAGTTTACTTTATATAGTTGCCAAGGGATACTATTTATTTAGCGAATTGCTTTTTCGTTTCGAACATGACTATCACCCTCACTTTTGGCGTTCTTATGAATATATTGCATTTATGCGAGCTAATTTTGTGTGGCAATTAAAGTGAATAATACGCGTGGATGCGTCATTCGGGGGGATCGGTCCCGAGTGGGCTAGCGAACACTAAAGCGAACACCAGCTCGGAGCACGTGGGGCGAAAGCTCGCGCTGCAGAACCCAGGGATCCTGGGCTCGATCGCCACCCCTGTCCGTTTCGATCTGGACGAGCATCGTACCGGCGTGCGGTCGTGTATCACTACTGCGTGGTGCACGTTAAAGGCCCCAGGCTAGCGGTTGTACTGCACTGACTAAACTGCTCATCTACAGCGAGTGACTCGTCGCAACTTTGAAATGGCTGACCGACTACACGCTGTATAAATATCCACACAACCCCAATTATTTTGATGCGTTATACCGTCTGCTCCGCAAGATGACCACTCGCACGGGTGCCCACGGCATTGATTGCATTGACGTAATAAGTGGTACTATTTTTAGGGGTCGTGCACGCGGCTGGTGTTTTGCTCGTTTATGGACGTGACGAACACGAGCGTGATGGGCTGTGGCATAGCCTCCTCTGTACTCATAAAGCCTGGCAGTTTGATGAAGGAGCCATGGAGTGCCCGGTCGCAGATTGTGAGCGCAAGGATCTGGTAGCACAGAGCATTTCTCAGGGAGTCTGGTATTCAGCGCACCGCTTTTACAGAGGAGAGGACTCGAAACATGGTTTTCAAACCCGACGAGAAAAAAAGCGGCAACCCGAGGAACGCGAGAAGCACGAGCGGACATTCCATCGCTCAAGACGAGTGTGTTTCGGCGTCTCGCCGCAGTGGGGCGCCCGTTACATGACTCTTGCAGCTCTGGACTCTTGTCTGCCGCTTTACCTCTTCACTTTCGGAGGTTACGTCTCGTGGAGATCCATAAAGAAAGGGCGATCTGCCAGGCTTTGTGAGTATAGAGGAGGCTATGGCTGTGGAGATTGCACGCTGAGCTGTGTATGCACGAGCATTCTATGCGCGAGTTCTCGCGCATAAAATGCGCTCTGAAAACTACGTGCTTGAGCCCGTGCCTAATTCGCCAGTCAGCGTTTTGCGCTTCGGGTGTGCCTGCCATGCACGCGAGCCCGTGCTTTGCGCACACTCGCGTTTTGGGGCTTCAGCCTCATTTATTTCATCAGGTCAAATCTTTCGCACGAATTTAACCAGCGGAAAGTTTTAGTCTGTCTTAATGGGCTTTCGATGTCTCCCCTTGGATATAGACGATTTGGCCAGTGCAGCTGTTGGAACGATGGAGATAAAACAAATACGTTCACTGGAAGCCCGAGCTTACATGACCACGATCATCATCAGAACGACATAAGAAAAGGAAGTTCGTTCTATATAGAAGAGAGCCGAGGACGTTACTTTAAGGCGCCAAGATGAAGCGCGTAAAGTCATCCGATCTGTCGTTCAACCTTGACACTGTGGTTGACAAGGCACGCAGGGATTCCAGTATGACGCGGAATTCCGTCATCAAGTACCTCGAGCAAGGGGTCGACAGCGCCGTGGGAACAACGAGTTCGAACGACACGCCACACGAGCAGGTCTGCATTAGAAATGTTCACTCAGCTTATTCAAGTGGAGGATTTAATTACTCGACTATCATCCTTACCAGATAAAGAAGTTCACACGAATTCCAAGCTTCCCTAAGGCACCAAGCTAGACCATTGACGAGCTAAAGTGGCTTTAGAGGCATCAGTTCGGCAAGTTCTGGGGTATTTGAAACCAAGAAACCGAACAAAAACACAGTTTTTTTTTAAATATACGCGTACGAAAGCATTGGCGTCCCTTAATAAGGTCGCAGAGGTGTTCACTTGTTGGCATGGCTCAGTTCGTTACTGCTGTACACAACCTGACGGCGAGGTTCCACGGGGCTTGTAAAACATGCATTCCACACCATTAAAAGAGTTGATTTTAGCCACCAATGAGTACGTGCTCGTTCTGAGCAAGCATGCGCTGCGAACAGTGCACTCCAATATGAATATCCATTTAGTGACGACAAAAATTAGAACATCCGATTCGCTAGATTAATACTCGATGAACCTCAATATGAACAGTATAACAGATATTTCTAGGCCGCTCCAGATTGCATTGACCAAGAGCGAGACTCTTATGGGAAGACGGGTGAACTAATCTGATGGCATACATTGCACGCTTACGCCTTTATGCACAGGAAGAAGACCAGACTGGAATGGAGAGCCTAAAAAGGCAACTGGAGTTCTTCTTGCTACCAGAAGAATCAGCATTTTCTTCTATAATGCCGCCCCAACAAGAGAAGGACCATTGGGACAAGGTGCACCATCGGAAAAAGTGGTTCATTCACCCGTATGGAGCTTTCAGGTACTGCAATGTTATCTACATAGGCCATTTTGTTTACTAATAAATATGGCGATTCTTCGCCAAGTCATTACTGATATGCTTTAATTAAAGAAAACAAAATAGTCGGTGCGATAGTTGTGCTGAGAGCTGGTGGGGCAGGAAGTAAAGGTGGCGGTGCTCTTAGAGATTTTGTTCAGTGCTACATTCCGTTCACCCATAAGCTGAGACCGCAGCCAATTCCGCAAGCACAGCAGCACGAGGTAACTGCTTTGAATGGTTCCGCGCATTAATACTTTAGACCCATGTTGTAAAAAAATACAAAGACACTTAAGATTGCTAACGTGTCGGAATGCATTCGTATACGTAGCGTATTCCTACAAACTGCGCGCCGCGCCGAGCTCGACCGTGCAACCTCTCCGGAGTCTGCCCAGGCGGACTCTGCGGCCGGCCGCTCCCTCTTACCGGAGGCCTGGCCGTTGCGCCGCCATGGAGGGGGCTTTTCTGTGGGGTGGCGTTCCTTGGAACTACGTCGCGCGGCAGCCAATGGGGTGGCTGCTACAGACTACAGCCTTCGCTTCATGGGACAGGGGTATTTAGGTGCCGTTTAGTGCGGCTTATAAAGCTGATAACACCGGTTCGCTCCATAAAACAGTTAACAATTTCGCATTAAAAACAAGAAAAACTATTCAAAAACTGCGGCCTAAAAACATGCTTTTCATGTAAGGCTCGTCAAATTATGAGGCGCTGGAGAGAACCAGCCTTCTGCATTATGTCCGTGTTTCGACCTCTTTTTGTTCGCGTTCCGCCCATCGAAAAGCACTTGGTGAAGGCCCCAGCACGCACCTCGTATCGCTGCGCCGCAGTGTTCTTCCGCTGCATAAAGGCCGTATGCTTTTATCGCCGTCACTATGGCAACAAACGCCGATTTTCCGAACACCGTCTTCTAGCCAAAGTTTAATAGTTTTGTAATAAGCAACGAAGCAAAGCTGCGTTCACGCCGCTTCGCAGGGTGAACGCAGGCGGCAGGGTGGGCTAACGTAACACGCTTCCCAGTGATACACGCGCCGTCCGAAAAGGTCATTCGGCATTCGTTGCCATGGGGACGGCGATGAAAGCAGACGGCCATTTTGCTGTGGAAGAACACTGCGTCACAGCGACACGAGGGGCGTGCTGAGGCGCGTCCCACATGCTTTTCAATGGGCGGAACGCGAACAAAAAGAGTTCGAAACTGGGACTTAGCGCAGAAGGCTGGTTTTCTCCAGCGCCTCATAATTTGCCGAACCTTACACAAAAAGTGTGTTTTTATGGCCATCCCGCGCCCTGATTTTTTAATCCATTACATGGGTCTCAAGTATCACACTGCCAAAAGTTCTTCCACGAAGAAAGCACTCGCGCTAGAAATGCACGTCTAAAAGTTATAGTTGGACGGGTTATCTCGCGCTTGAAGCTTTGACTGCAGTCTTAGCTTAAGGGTGTCATAACCGCGATAGCAATGCTTTGTTTGCACAAGTGTACACGTTCGTGCAAACAAAGCAGAGGACACTTTCGATTGTGCCCATGCCTTTACCAATGCTGCACACAACCTGTAAGATGAAAGTCTAATCTCGGAACTTGTTCATTGTACAACTTTTCTGCTCATTCAGTTTCAGACTCTTCAACTGGTATCGAGTTGAAACGGCTAAGTCGCGATTATTATATTTTTTTAGTCGGGTACTCTTTAGTAAATGAAAATGGTCTATACTTTAGTGATTTTAATTTTCGAATGTATATTGATTTTTAATTGCGGACTTTGCTCTTATATTTGCGAGTAACATATAATATAAACCCAACAGTTTTCTGTGCGTCAATACCACATTTGGCAAATGTCTGGTCGTAATATCATTTTGAGGAATCAGTAATACCTTATTTACAGCCACAATCAGATGTATTTGGCAAATAGAATCAAAGGAAGATTAACAACGAAGGTCGGAATCCTAATGACAAGTTCCGAGGAATAAAATGCAAATTCTATTGTGGAAGCTTTTGTTCTAGTGAATCTTATATCGTCCGCAGAAATTAAGAAGTTCAAAACTCATTATATGCTTACGTTAAAAAGAAATGAACAAGAAGACAAAAGTAAAATTTTTATTCACGTTTTTTTTTTTTTTTTTTTTGGGGGGGGGGGGGGTTTGGGGGGGGAGGGGGCGTCGGTGAACGATAACGATGAATAGTCAACTAACCCAACAACGTATTTTAATGTATAGTAAAATGTTTGCTCATGAGAAAGTGTGGCTAAATAATCCCCAAGCTCACTTGCCATCTTCCAGGCTCCGATGGGACATGATCATAATTGTGATTATGGCGATTAGCGTGGTTGTCATTCCGATGGAAGCGGCTTATTTCGAATCGGACGACTCCGAAACCGTCGAATGGATCGTCTTCAACGTCATCTCCGACATTTTCTTTATGGTGGACATCGCCTTCAACTTCAGGACAGGTAGGATAGCAGCCCTCTCTTCCTTTGTGCGCAGGAACGAATGTGTGTTTCCTTCCAGTGATGTGAATTAGAGTAAACCACATCGGAATCCTTGTCGTCCATGAAAAAATAATAGAAGGTCCTATCCCCGGTGACTCCGAGAATACTAATGACACTTTAACGGTTTGACCTCAACGTGTACGCGCCTGTATAAGAGTGGTGTCACCAAAGGCTCTAAACTCGTGAAACACAGAGTTGGGGCCGAAGTTCAGGGAGCGCGCCGATGAGACGATTACGACGGTGACTTTGCACTTTTGTCGCCGGCCTCCAATCGGCGCGCTTCGCGAACTTTCGGCTCAAGCTTTGAGTTTGACGAGTTTAGGGCCCCAGGGCGGTTTGCCAATGAATGCGGGCATTTCTATCGGCGGATAAAATATCCGCAAGAGAGATTTTAAGGACATATGTAATTGACTCCATGAAGAAAAGTACCTGGCGTTCCGGCCGATTCCGCTCAGCCAAAAAAAAGCCTGGCCTGTCGTTTTCTCTAATTCTCGCTTATTACGACCTTCCACGGAAACACCTCTATTCTCAAGTACACGAATGCAATTAATTTCACTTACATTCCAAGCCTTGACATCCTATTTCTGCGAGCATCGAATGACGTTTAAAATCAAAGCGAGGACGAACCTACGAAAGCCATCTGTATAGTAACGTTATGATATGTTTAGTTTCTATCTCGTGACTTAAAGTTCAAGATCCCTATTGCGGTTATGTTCACAACCGAGAGAAATACCCGCATTCACCAGCAAAGCGGCCCAGACCATTTAAGGGGGGGGGGGGGGGCATGCCCTCCCCCCCCCGGGAGTCTTCCATTTTACTAAGACCTCCTCTTCCCCTCCCCCTCATACAGCATTTTGTCATGGGCGCCCCCCCCCCCCCCCCCCCCCCCCCCGAACCAAAATCTTTGCTACGTGCCTGTTCCATGGCACTAGTTGTGTGCAGTGCAGGCGAAGGTAGTGCCAGGCGAAGAGAGGAAGGGCGAGCACTAGGAAGGCGGGACGGGAGAGGAGGGCAACAGAGTTAGAGGAGAAAGAGTTAGAGCACTAGCACTAGGAACATTAGAGAGGAGAGGTGGGTTCTCTCCTCGGTCCCCAGCCTTCCCAGTGCTTTCTCCTTCTCCCCTCGCCTGGCGTTGCCTGCGCCCGTACTGCACGCAACTAGTGACACGGAGCATAGGGGCACGTCGTGTGTTGCTCTCCTATGCTCTGGAGCAAGTAAAAGATCTTCCGGTTTAAGCTCTAGGGTTAGGCCAGTGCTTAACCGCCACTTCTAGATATTTGTAATCCTGTGCTGTCTGCATCGGCCATTGCTAAGAGCGCCACCACCGTAAAGTAGAATAAAATCGGGCGCCGTATTATGTCTTTAATGTTCAGCATGACAGTCGAAACGTCACAATGAAGTAGCGCGCCATTCCGACATAGCTTCAAACATTGCGTTGCGGTAGAGCTCAGAAATAATTTTCCCAATTTTATTTTGCACTTGATATCTTAGTCTTCGGCTGCCTTTGTACTTGGACAATTACGAAGAATATGTCTCTAATCGCTGAGTGAATTGGTACCCGATGAGCCTTAAAAACTCTCAGATTTGCCTAAAGTTGGAATAAACAAAGTTGTTTGCACATTCTTCTATCTATCTTAGGAATCGTTGTTCGTGAGGAGTATGACCGTGTGGTCATGGACCCGTGGATTATTGCCAAAGACTATCTGGGACACTGGTTCATTGTGGACATTATTAGTGGCTTTCCGTTTGACTACGCTCTGGCTCTGGTAACCATGTTCATGGAATACTCAGACGGTGGGGGAAAGACGAATAGTTTTGCCAAAGCTGCGAGACTGCTTCAGCTCAGCAAATTTCTCAAGCTTTGCAAGCTTCTCAGGCTCAGCAAGCTTATCAGATACCTCAGCTCTTTCGAGGAAAACTATGTGAGTACCATTATAGTGAATCGAAAATAGGATATTTTCGCTGCGATGCGGCGATCGGGGCTGCACGTGAAAAGTGTAGCCACGAGACACATAATTCGCTCAACCTTTGTAATTAAAATTGATGGGTGGATAGGTGTACTATGTTGCATAAATATCCGTAGATCTACGCGTGGGTGGCACAAGAAATGAGAGGGGGGTGATATAAGAAAGGCCGTGCCTTGTCCAATCATTCCATCTGTGCTGTTTGTGGCCGCTGGAGATACGTCCACGGACTCGTGCTGCATGACGATGGCGGGTGCTCAAGGAGTGAATGCCCGTGGCTCGGAGTCCCGTATAAGCAATTTTGCGGCCTCTCGCGCCGTCATCTTCGTGTCGCATATGCGGAATTGCATGCGAAGTCGACGGAAAAAAGCGGGGTGCGCTATTGGGCCATTTCAAACACACGATATATATATACAAAGTTTTTTTTCGGAAAGAAGCACACGCGGATGAAAGGAGCCAACGGCACCTCCGTGGCGAACGCGATAGCATGTTCGCCGCGTCATTGGTGTGCCGCGGTGCTAAGAGTGCGTCGTCTCGCATAAGAGCACGCGGGTTCTTTTGTTTTCTTATTTTCGCTTTTAAAATAACTTCAAATTTATTTTGACATGCGTGATGTCACTTCCGTGACCAAGTTTTCGTTACATCGACTTCCCAACTTTGCACCTTCTTCCAAATGCGGAGAAAGACGTAGTTCTACGTCACAAAAGGATCCCCACATCTACGTATACTGGAAACAGTGGCGAGGAGGACAAGTAATCAGAATACAACTTCTGAGTCATCCGATTAGTAAACATAGCAAATAGAGGAATTGTAATTTGTGGAGGCATCTATGAAAGTCCCATACCGAGAGATCACCCAAATATTGCATGAAGATGTAAGTATAAGCAGTATGGCGCAATATGCGACATACGTTCCGAGACAATCAGAAGTTAACCAGGATTTCAAATGTTTTCTTGGGAAAATTTCCGTATACCGAAAAGTCTACGCACCGAAAAGTTCGTATACTGAAATATCCGTGCACCGAAATGTCCTTGCACCGAAATGTCTGTGCACCGAAATGTTTAGGCACCGAAACTTTCGAAAAGTCATACGCCGAAACGCCCTAACCCAGCGTATACACATAGTACTGTCAAATGATTTTATATGAGACCACGAACCAGAAGGCTCTTCAAAACACTGGAGTCCTCGGTTTCCGGTTATATTTTCATGTGAATGTCCAGGTAGTAAGCTTTTATGTCCCGCACACGATATCCACTGTCAATCAATATTTTCTCTGTTCTTTCTCGGAACACGGATGGCAGTTTTTCTACTCGACGGGCGTGTACTTTCGCTTGTTCAATTGCATTGCGGTCCTGTGCCTGATCGCCCACTGGAATGCCTGTCTGCAGTTCTTCGTACCGCGGATGCAAGATTTTCCAGCGGATTCCTGGGTTTCCAAGCAGAAGCTCACAGTAGGTAGCGCGATATTTTGTTTCGAGGTCGTACTGTCTTTTGATAGATATTGCCGCGCGGGCAGCTGGCCAAGTAGGCAGCGCGCGCGTGGCCTAACGGTTACCGCGTTTGCCTCCCACGCAGAAGGCCAGGGTTCGATTCCTGGTCGCGGCTACACATTTTTGTTGACAGTGTAATTTGATGTTCTGGTGAATTCAAGAACCGTCTCGCTGATTCGGAACGTTCTACGCCGAACGATCCAGAAACCACGAGGGTACATAAGGGGATTCCGCGTGGCGAGCCGCAGTCAGTCTCGTCCCAGCGCTCGGTCCTGTGGTTTCGCCGACTTCGACGCCCGCGACGCTCTGTTATTATTCTTTGTACCCCTTTTATTTTTGGCACAAGTTCGCCACATTAAACGTTTATTTATTTCTGTTTATTTATTGTTTTTTGGTCACCACCCGTGACAGTATGAATTTGCCTGTTCGCAGTGAGCAAGAAGAAAAAAAAAAAGGTACTTGTGTTATGTCAAGAGCAGTTTGAGTGATGTCCTGTTAAGGGCACCTCCTGACAGTGGCCCTACAAAGGGCTGTTTGTAATTAATTACAGCCAGGGACGAACACTAGCGTTTAGACGATGGAATGTTTACGACCGTAGAAAACAGAGGAGTATTGTGACGGAATTAGCCTTTGGTGACATAATGGTCTAGAAAAAGTGCACGTCAATCTTTCTAACGCCATGAAAACCGTAATCTTCAAGGTTTTCGTGTTTTCAGTGCACATGGTTCTGTTCTAGCTCACGCTAAGCGTTTACATTGTTGCCATGGGATCTTATAATTTATACCTCGATACGAGCTGATGAGCTCATCAGGCAGAGCTAAAAGCGCGCAACGTCACGGCGTTTGTTATCTTTCTGTGTTTTTTCTTACCGCCTAAACCAATCAAGTGCAGAGACTCTGCCGGAACGTTGCGTTTTTGCGTGCGTGTCTGTACGGGCTGCACATGACTGCAGCGTTTCCTTGTCGTTCACAGAACAGCTCCTGGTGGGAGCAGTACTCGTGGTCCATGTACAATGCCATGTCCCAAATGGTGTCTTGCGGTTACGGTAGAACTGCTGCGGAAAACACGACCGAAGCTTGGCTCACTTGCCTGGGAATGGCATCCGGTACAATCGGCTACGCACTCCTCCTAGGCCTCTGCGCTAACATGATACAGACCATGGACCATACACGCAGGCTACACAGGGAGAAGGTAAGAGAAGAGACACCCCCGAATGCGTATACGTCACGTTTGCTGGTGCGATGTAATAATATTTGCGTTGGAGGTACGTTTAGACAGTAGTGATTACACAAACACACGCCGCGTACGATGCTCGTTCAGATCGAAACAGGCGGAGGCGAGGAACGAGGCTCAGGATCCTTGGGCCCTTGTGCGAGTTTTCGCTCCGCGTGCTCCGGGCTGCGGCGCGCTAACACAGTCGGCTAGCCATTCCCCATTTCGGTGCAAAAAAATCTCTTACGTGAGTTCTGCCCAAGAATATGATTGGACCCAGGTAAATAAAAAAATCTACGATTTTTATACTCAGCTACGTTATGCCTACACATTACTTTTTTTAAGCCGACGAATCTGTTGGAAGGACGCCTAACCTATATCTCTGACTTTTCGTAGCACTTGGGTACCTACACTGCCTACAGGCTAGTTGGATCTGCGCACGTTTGCACCACAAACGAGTGCGTTGAAGGGTCGCGTGCACTGTGATCTCTGCAAATGACTGGGGCTCCCACTTCCACGTGACACATTGCCAAATTTGGTTTTGTTTTTTCCTCGAAATCTCAATTACACGGCACCTTCTCCTCTATAAGCCTCCGTGATATTGCGGACACTTTTGTCGAACTGGAAATCTGAGCGGCTTGTAACGATCGTCTAAAATAACTGTAGCGTCACGTTTAAATGTTGCATACGCGTGCGATGTGATTGCAGTGCGTAACTAGCTCGCTGCACCGTGGGGCATAAAAGAAGATACAAATATTAAAAAAAAAGAGGACACATTCGGGAAAAGCTATGACCTCTTCTGAGGTCATGCTGCCGGAGCGACGCGTCTTTATGTCCTTATGCTTCTTGTTTCTTCACAAGCATGATCCCCTCAAATTTGACGCTTGAAGGTAATATGTGGAATTGTCCTTTCCTGGCGTTTGATATCTCTAAAACAGGCGCATTGTGGGACCCCGATAGCGTTCTAGGTAATATACGGTTGTGCCGTATGGGCATAACATTCTGTTTATACTCGCTGCAGTGATATAGATTATATACTGACTAGCAGCTCAAGAAACGCGTTGCGTGGCCTATATGTGATCACGATTCTTTGTTTAAGATTCGTTTTTTCGGTGTTCTTGTAGGCTGACAACATAATCCCTGGTTGCGCATCGATAAGAATATAATAAGATAGTGCGCCCGAGCAACACCATCTAGAATAATCAAAGCCTGTGAAGAATCTCCTCTAACTCCGCCTAGCGCCATTGCACTCGGACGGCGCCAAATCGGGGCCCGAGTCAGACGCCGAGTGTCCTTCAGCGCGTTCATTGTAGTACACAAGGCCCAACCGAACGCTGACGCGGCGCTCGTGCCCAATGTGCGTCTGCACTCGATATCCTTGTGATGACGTTGAAATGCTAGTACACAGGCTTTTATTACTCTATATTACCATATTTTCCCTTCCCTTTCCCCGCATTCACCCTCATCAACCTACAATAACCCAAGCCCGTGAAACGTGCCCACCGTGAGTGAGGCAAATGTCACGTCTGGCAAACAATACAACCAACCAGCCAACCATCTATAAGCTGTGTTGGCCTTCGCTGATTTTGAACTAATGGGTGCCACGAATCAAAAAGGCTCTTGACTCGAAATCCAAAGTACACCGTCTTTTTAGCTTTATCGCAGCTACCTAATTTCTGAGATTTTATTGGCCCATCTTAAAAGAAAGAGAAAAGGGGAGACAAACCCCATATATATATAGGGTGTTTAAAATGCCGAGGGTCGATCTAAAATGGGCCGTAAATATCGGCGCCTGCACGTAGCAATCGAAACTTTTCGTCAAAGGTGTATTTCACAGGTGGGTTTTACCTTACAAAATTTCAAAGCTTAGCTCCTTTTCTGTAAAAACTAGGGCAAAAAAAAAAACAAAAAAAAACTTGCCAGGGTCAAGGTCGGACGGCGCCGCAGACGACCAACTCGAGTGGCGGAGCGCGTTTGGCGCACGTATTTATAGATGACGCTACCTCGTTGTTCTGGCTTGCTTTTAGAAAGTGTCGACACCGTTCGTCACGACCGTGGTCTATTAAATTGAACACAACATTTGTGCAAGGTTCCTTTGGTTTAAATATAAATGCGGACAATGATAGCAAAACTTGAAGTAACAAAAATAAAAGAAAACGCGGTTGCATAACGACGGCGCTCTTGCTGCCGATGGACTTCGACAGCGTGTCCTCTGCTTTTTTTCTCTAAAAGGCTACACCTTCCGATAGTGACCCTGCCTTTCGACGCTGCTCTCGACGCCATCTACACTGTTAGAAAAACTCTTGTCAAAGTATGGGACACATACATGCTGACCTTGTTGCCACAACATGTACTGTATTACCGGACTACAGAACATGTTCCATACTTCTTTAGTATGGGACATGATGTTGCTGTGTGGGCAGCCACAACAAGTTCCATACATCGTCATTACGGAACAAGTACTGTATGCTACAGGAAATGTACTATCGGGGAAAAATGAAATGCGAACAGAGGAGCGCGTGGCTCGCGGTACAGGCTGCGCCGCCTGGAAGTCAGCTTAGGGGCGAGGGGGCGTGGCCTACTTCGATGTGTTCACGCCCCTCGATTGGCGCTCCCTCAGCTTCGGCGGTGCGCCTCTCGGTGCGCTGAAAGCTGTCACCGCTATCTTTGCCTGCTCGGCGAGTGCGGCGAGCTTCTTCGCACCGCACGCGCTGAGCCAGCAAAGATAGCGGTGATAGCTTTCAGCGCACCAAGAGGCGCACTGCTGAAGCTTGGGGAGCGCAGAGGGAGGGGCGTGAACACGTCGGAGTAGGCCGCGCACCCTCGCTCCTAGGCTCACTTCCAGGCGGCGCGGCCTGTACCGCGAGCCACGCGCTCCTCTGTTCGCATTTCATTTTTCCCCGATAGTACCATCATGGCACACAGCAGTACATGTTCTGTTGCAAGCCATGCCAGGACACATACCATTTTTACGAGATACATCACATGTTCCAATGCGTCCAAAACAGCAAATGTCACATTTCTTGTTGGAAAAAGTTCAGGCTCATTTGTGATGGTACTCGCCCCATTTTACATTACTACGCTATGGTGCCTGGAACGCGTCTCCAACTGGTGTGTTTACCGCGGCCAAAAAAGTGGTCCTTCGATTTCCGCCTGATGACGTCATACAAGCGTCATGCTGTCGCCGGTCGCGACCCTGGTGGTGTCTCAGCAGCTGTGGTGGATATGGCAGATGCCTGTTCTGCTGCAGGTCGCTCTCCACTGTGACAGTTCACGGAAGCTAGAGCAGCCGGAAGTTGGGGCGTCTGGGACGCCGTGACGACAGCGACACTCGCGTTCGCTCGTGCTTTTCGCAAGCATTACTACTGCCAACCGCCAGCATCGCGACAGGCAACAGCATGACACTCCGGCTTCTGTGACGTCATTTGTTGCCACACTGGGACCACTTTTGATGTATGGGCGGGATAGAACGCTAAACACACCAGTTGGAGACGCGATTCAGGCACCATACTACCGCTAATCACGAGTACATCCGGGCTTTATGTCACATGCCAAGCTTCTCCTTGAAAAGGTTAATAGGTGACATGCAAAACAGGGATGTCCTGATGGTTTGAAGGCGCAACTTGATGCAAGTCTTTGCAACGTATAATTACCTGCAATGCGTAAATGTTCCCCAAACTTGTATTGAAAATTTGAACTGTTGTATCTAATGCGAGCACTATCCTGAAAACAGAACAATGAATCTGTGACATATATATACTCAACAGCCAGGAATGCTATGAGAAGGTTTTCGCATGCTACTTCAATTTTAGGGAGCATTGTACATGCAGTGACGGGGATAAAGACAGGTAAACATTTGTAAACATCCTCATGAAACTAAGTTCACGCTTGATGCTGTTGGTTCCAAACCATAGCAACGAACCCATTGTGAAGAAGAGCGAACAGTTTGCTGCTTCAAAAGTATTAACATTTATTTTTCGTTTAAATGACTAGAAAACACATCGCGCCACAAATATTTTGGGGCAGCTGAGCCAGTGTTATTAGGCTTTAAAAAAAAGATGAAGGTGAGCATTGTCTCCCAAAGAAAAATGTAAAAAAAATTATGCTGGCCTATGAAGCAAAAATTTGTTTCATAGGCCCATCTTGGCCTATGAAAACAAATAGAACTATTAACAATAGAAAATGAAGATTAATTTAGACAAGCGCCGAATTTTCTTCCCACTTCTTCCTGAACTTCGAGAGCTCTTGAAGGGCTCCTTGCACCTTGGGATGCACAGGAGCAACTTTTCTTGATGTCTGTCGGGACCCCTCCTCTGGGTTCATTCTCACCAGTTGCCTGAAAGAAAGAGGACTTAAATAATGGGTTGGAATATTTAGAGGAAGATGTATAACAGAAGCTAAGGAGTTCCTGGCTCCTTTTTCAACTTCAGTGTCGGTGCCGGTTAGTAATCCAATCCGGACGAGTTCTAAATCGTGTCTGTAGTATACTTTGAAGCCGAGACAAACGTCCTTAATTTGGATAGTCCGTGAGCATTCTACAAGCTTAAAGTCTCACCCTTCCATCAAGACGGATTGAGACTGTACACAAAAAAACGTTTCAGCCCACTGGCGTCAGTTCTCATTAATAACTGGACGCATGTCAGCCCACAGCGATAAGACATTTCTACAACCCGAGACGGAGGCGACAAAGAAAGACAAACGCATGTCTCAATTGAGACGTGTGTGTTTGTCCTTCTTTGTAGCCTCTGTCTTGGGTTGTAGAATGTCTCCATATTAACCAGCTCGCCTGCCTATAAAGTTGTACAAGATAGTTCAGTTAAAAAAAGAATTCACAGTACGCGTCAATGCAATGTTGCAAAAAAGTCTGCCTGAAGTGCTTAAGCAGAATATTGTGGTTATTATTAGAATGCTGAAATTTCATGTCTTTGTTTATAATACTAATTCTAACTGATAAGCATAGCCCGGTCAAAAGTATATTTATGTGCGCCTGCAGAACAAAGGCTCCTGCATTTGCAGCCTAGTGATATTAAGACTGGTTAAAATAGAGGTCGCATGTGTCGTAGGATGCATACGCTCTATAGAGCGTATGCATCCTACGACGCATCTTACGACCTATAGAACCAATACTATAGTATTGGTTTTATATGATAATATATCTGAATACCAGATTCATGTTGACTCACATTATATTGCAACATAGTCAATATGATTTACAGAGGAATGGTCCTCCCGAGCAGGTCACGCAGTTACTGCAGCACCTCCAATTAATCTGAGCAAGGAACATTTCCAAGCGAATTGTAAATAAGGATGTGTAGAAAGCAGCACATTAACAGCAGGCCTTTGCCTTTCTTAGTGTAAAGTATGAACAAAAACATGCTTCAACATGTTCCAGGTTGCTGTTGAACGTGCCAAACGAACACAAACCCTAACGTTAATGTGCTGCTCTATAAGCATATCTTTTTCCGAATGTTGTTGGGAATGTTGTTCGGGAACAACATTTAAGATGGCGACCATAAAATATTCAAGTTTCATAAAATCGGAGGGGGCGCTTACACGAGGGGGGGGGGGGGGGGGGCATACTCTTTATTTTACGGTAACCAGCCTCGCACATTTACGAGCATGCTTGTGAGTGTGCGAGGCTGGATGCACAATGTGCAAGTCTGGTCGCACATTCACGAGCACGATCGTGAATTGCGAGGCTGGTAAGGTGATGATGGGCCGAAATAATTGTTTGAGGGCTCTTCTTTGTTTTTTTATTGGCAGAACAAAGCTCTGCCACTATGACCAGGTTTTAGGTCGTCCAATCAATGAATGTTAACGCGCGTATAGAAACTTACGGTAGAGCTGCACGACGTCGTGCGTGCAGCATTACTCTACATAAAAAGAGTGTCCTTCTCAGGCCATAAGCGGGAGTTCACTCTGAGCATGCGCAGCGTTCAGAGAGCTGCAGCGTGGCGTCCAGCGAATACCACTATTTACAATAGAGGTTTCAACTCGACAGGGGTAGCTTCGAAGTGTGTACATTCATTAGGAGCTCAAGTTATTTAAGGCATATCAGTCCCGATAAAATGGCATCCATTTAGTGCACAGATCACCCGGAGCCACGGAGCATCCGCAACACGCACACGAGTATTAACAAGACGATGACTGATTACTGGCTTAGCGTGGATAAGTTCACTGGGAGACTAAAAATATTGGACGATAATCCGTTACAATCCCTAAGAAGCAAAAGTCTGCATTATTTCTCTGCATCAAGCAGATACCACCTTTACTTGACCGCATGTTTAGCAAGCTGCCAAGATCAACCACACGGTCGAGATAGCAGAGGAAACCAGTGCTCCACCATACTTTCAGATGCATTTAAAGTAGAGTAAAGCTATATGCCATACGTCGTGCAACTTGACCGGAAATGGCTGTACGCATGACGCGCAGAGGTCAGGCCATTTGGGTAACCCTTTTCGGACGGCGCGTGTATCACCGGGGAGCTCGTTAATCATCATCATCATCATCATCATCATCATCATCCTCATTCTCCTCCTCTCCCTCGCCCCCCCCCCCCCCCCCCCGGCCTGCGTTTACGCCGCAAAGCGGCGACAGTGTGCGGCTGCCAGGGATGGGCAAAAGACATGCAAATATGTATCGAAATACAAAATACTTCGTCAAAAATTTAATTAATTACAAATCTAATTACATTTTCAAAAAAGCATTTAAGTACAAAATACAAATACAACCAAACGTATTTGGTTTCCTCCAAATACTTTTCCAAATACATTCCTCAAAATTTGCGTCAGCAACTTCAGGGCACCTGCAACGGGTTTCTAGGTACCTCATTTTAATTTTGCATCGTACACTCGGGAGTTAGTGTGCGAGGGTCTAGTAACGTAACAGAAATATAATCACCAAAAAAAAAAAAGATGTGATCTGCTTGGACGTAATAGGTGAAAAAGTACAGAGCTTCAATCAGCTTTTTTGTCGATTACATTTTGCTATAGACCAACAAAGACCGAGACGATCAAGACGCGCAGCACTACCTAAAGAATTTGTTATGAAAACCTGGACGACCGCGCATTTAGAATATTCCAGGCAAAAATATGAATCGAAATCAGGCTGCAAAGCATCACAAGTTGTCACAGGCACTTATTTAGCCAGTCTGCCTGTGACCGTCGATTCGTCACTATTCTTGCCCTGGACTAGCACCGTAATCGCAAAGCATTCAACGCTTGTGCTTGACTGAGAGACACTGCATTCAGTGCAGAACGTAGTTTTCTTTCTGCTCTGGGCAGCGCCTTTAAAATAAAGCCAGAGGAGAAAAAGGAAAAATCCCATGGCCGGATAAAAGATGGAGACTATATCTTACAACCACAAGCATAAAAACAAGAATTGTCGTGACAATAAATTTGAGGGATATATTTTCGCTCACAATATTGTATTTAATTACAATTGTATTTGAAATGCCCACGTTTTAGTATTTAAATACAATCGTCAAATACATTACCCAAGTTATAATTAAATACACATGCAAAATACACAAAGTATTTGAAATACGTATTTCAAATACTTTTATTTGAAGTACTGCCCATCCCTGGCGGCTGCTAAGTACAAAACTATTTACCGCGGCATCCACCGGCAACCCACGCACCGCTGTCCTCGATTGCACCACCGAAAAAGGAGTCCCATACCATTTAGTTAAGCCGAACTTCAATGATGACATTCGTTTTTTTTTAGTGTTCATTGTAAATGGGAAATGTAAATATCGCCAAATGATTGACAAAACTAAATGTAAAAAAAAAAAGTATTTAAGCTCACACGGGGGATCGAACTATATATAGGGTCCGCTGCGAATCAAGCAGACATCTAACCACTGAACTACGCCACCGCTTGGGAAACTCGTAACCATTCGTTTTAAACGAGTTTCGCGTCGTGCGTATAGCCAATACCACCTAGAACACAAGGCGTGCGCGTTTCCTACTCTAAACGTCATCACTAGTAGATTCCCTCAGCGCCTCCTAGGTAGCCCGGATGAGCACCTTCGTCTGCTGCATCGTCGGCTCGACCGCCTGCATCAGTGGTCGTGCTCAAAACGAGCTCGCATTGCTAGGACGGCAATCTTGATGGTGCCGGATGCACATTGCAAATGAATTGTGGTAGCTCGTTATTAGCTCGCGCTAAGCAGTCGCGCACTTAGCTGTGGCCTATACAAGGCCTAGCTCTATGCGCATGGGAAGGCGAGACGCTACACGCTGGGCGTCCCGAACTTGGAATATACGACACGTTTAGAGAGAGCAAGCTAATACTGCGTTCAGAACAACTTAACGTTTACTTACTTACCTTAGAAAACAAGGCCGTCAACGCCGCTGACGCGCGATAGCTACGTCGAGCTCGGATTCCGAAGTCCAGCAGCGGGCCTATTCCGGGGTTCCGCGCCAGACGCCAGCGCAATGCGCATGCGCGAGAGAGAGATGTCTTCCTGCGCGCGGCGAAGCACGGCTCACGGGCGCTGTACTTCCGCGGTCTGATAGAGTTCCATAAAAATTGCTGGGTTTTTGGAACTTCTGGACGTGTTAAATTTCTGTATACCAGTTGAACCGACTATATATTGTAACCTTGTAAGGCTCTTTTTATTGATTCGGATCAGCTCATGCTTATTGCCTAAGTAGCAGGTTTCAATGCATACGGTACAGTTCCAGTTTTTGAACGCAAACAGCACATTAGATGCATTGCCAGAAAACGGGACATGTTCTATTCGGTTTTTCCACGTAGATTGATGGAATTTTCTAACAGTGTATCAATACTGTCAAAAAATACGACCGTGACACCCCAAGCGGTTAACTTTAGAACTACATGGATGGGGGCAACAAATACAATGACTCAGCGCTCGGCCGGCATAACCGAACGCGGCGTCAGCGTTCGGCTGGAGTTCGTGTTCTCCGGTGAGGGGGAGGAGGGGCTCTTTTGTTTCCACTCCGGCCTGCATGAACAATGCAGCATGCACGGTCCCAGCTCAGCACAAAAGCCTAAGTGGGTCAAGCTCGCATTCTCTGAGGATAGATCCGGCACTTAACGTCGCTTCGTCGATTGTTAGTATTTTTTACATTAAACTGTGCCTCGCGCTCTATTGTAGAAGATGACATTAACATGCCCATAAGACCTGCGGGCATGTGCACAGGCCTTGTGTTGAGTAAACACCGAGGTGTGGGGAAACAAACGGGTCGGAGCGCAACCTATAGTTCGATCTCCTGCCCAATATCGTAAAATCGAAATACCTCAAGAGAGGAGGAGGAGCGGCAGGAAAGAAGGGAGGAGAGGGCACGGATCCGGAGGAGGGACATACTCTCCTCTCCATACCCTCCCCTCCTCCTCCTCAAGAGCTGCGCTCTAAATCGGCGCTACAGGGAGTAGTAAACGTCTTTCATTTTTTACAGAAAGGGATCTACGCCCTGTAATTTTGGGAGCTAAAACCCACCTATGAAATACCTTTGACGAAAAGTTTAGATTGCTACGCGCGGGTGTCGATTTTTACGGCCCTTTTTAGATCAGATCGGGCCCTGGCATTCCAGACACACTATATATATATATCTACGCTTTCACATTTGACATTGCCGTGTTTCTTAAATGACTGAATAGCGCCATAGCGGCAATTACCGCCTTTTCTTACCGCAGTTAAAGGAAGTCGAAGATTACATGCAGTACCAGAAGCTTCCCAAGCAACTCCGCAACCGCATTCGAGACTACTTCGAGAACCGCTATGGCGGCCGCGTCTTCGACGAGGCAAACATCCTGAAAACCTTGTCGGATCCGCTCAGGGAGGTATACGCTTAACTGCTTCAGTTGTTCACCCGCGAGTCACCCTGATCTCAAGAAGCGCAGGATGTGGCGAGTCTCGGGCATTTTATTGGCGCTCCGCGGCTAACAAGAATGTGACTCCCCTTCCCCCCCCCCCCCCCCCCGCCCCCCCCACCCCCCCCCCCCCAAAAAAAAAAAGCTAGTCATGATGCAAGAAACATGTTCTCACCTTCTCCTCCTCTCCTTCAGTTTCTCTCCGAATAGAACGAAGAACAAGATCTGTTTGTCGCTTATCGGGTTAGCCAAAGCGAGATAAAGAAGAGAAGGATATGTCTCTCGTGAGAAGCGTGCTTGTCCAGAGGGGGAAACAAGGGAAGGAATAAAGCAGTAAAATATTAGTGTCAGATAGGTTGGTTAATTGTTGAGTTCATTTGACTTAACTTAAGCCAGGCTCTCATGTAAAATGGAAAAAAAAATGATACCATAAATGCATATTTTCATCGTCTTGTATCGCTTAACTCGCTTATCCAAATGCAGGAACATAAAATTAGTTGGCGAAGTTAAAAAGGCTGTATTTACACTTCTTTTAAGTTAGTTTCTTATGTATAGGTTTATAACGCCTCCACAGTGTAATTGCTTGCCACTTGTGAGTCTTTTGTTTTTTAATCCTTGTGCAATGCACAGTAAGGTTACATTAGAATTAATTAAATTATTTTTGCTGAATTATTAACATCGACTAGGTTTTGCTGAGTTATTAAAGAAAATAGATTCGCATAGTTACGAGAAAAGTTACTTATTTGAACCGCTCAAACCGTTTTAGCCTAATCCTTTCTTTTCTTTTTGGTCGCAATAGGGCTCAAAAAGAGTTATATCTTTTAATCCACAGTGCACATGAAGCAAAACATGATATCATTCCCCGAAGTTATGGGCTATACACACGCAGCAATTATTGTTGTATGTTCACAGAGTGAGATGAAGCGTTCAGAAAAGCAATCTATACAATATCCAAAGTAAAGAAAACGGTAAAGCGCTAATTACTTTAAGTAATCTTCGTTTCGCGTAAACATATAGGAACCGTGCGGATCTAATTCAAGCCCCGACCAGGGCGCCCCTAGCGGCAAACGGGTCCGTTGCATCGGGCATCTTCTGCCAGTCGCTGCGTTGGTTGTGCGTTGTAGTGGATTAGCGCTGTAATTTCTGAGATGACTATTCCGCACCAAGAAAGCCGCAACAAGTGCTGCCTGGTCGGCTGAAACAGTACGTCGAAGATCGCGCACGGCACGTAGTACTACATCGTCCCTTCGAAGCCGTACGAGGCGGAGTACTGCGCGACCTGGGTACGACTTGTGCGTCCATACAGGTTAGTGGTGTTTCTTACCTTCCAGTTCGTGCTTTGTTTAAGCTGCTGACGTATAATACAGTTACCTTCTTTTCTCTTCTAGCGACGATAGAGCAGCATCGACACCGACGGCAAACTCTATGGAGCAAATACTTCACCGGAATCGAGAAGCGGAATGCGGTCGCCCTCCTAAGCCTACCCTGGGATGTTTCCATCAGCCTACAGGAAGATACTAAAGAGAATCGCGGAACGGCGCGAAAAAAAAAATCGCTCAGTTATTGTCAAGCTGATTCAGAAATAAACGTACATAATTACCGCAGTCCCCTCAACGTCAACTTAATTTTTTTGCGGGCGCGCTTAAAGGGGTCATGAAACGCTTTTCCAACTTTTTCCAGTTCAGCTTTCCTCCTCAACTCATAAATCGCGCATTCTACCAAACAGTTAAAGAAGACGAAAAGGGGGAGCCCCCTCTTGGTCGCACCCTCGTTTGTGTAATCCGGACACATCCATTCTCCCCCTAGAAGATTAGCCCGTCGCTCAAAATTCAGACAAAAGTTGCTTTCCCCACCCCGTTCATTCTGAAGCTGACAGTGCTGTTGAAGCTATGTGCACGTTGGGCCAGCCACACTTGCCACGTGAGCGTGGCAAATGTGGCTGCAGAGAATGAAGTCAGGTGATGAAAGGGAGGCGGCTGATTGGTCCGGCAAGCGCGTAGCTTCCACCACAATGTCAGCTTAGGGGTGAAGGGAATAAGTGAGGTCCGGTTGCGTGTGACGTCAGTTTGGACCCGACGACGCGCTTTTGGGACCGCGGATGTATCACAGTGAAAAGGCAGAGAGGTTGCGAAGGGGAGGAGGTACGAAATAGTCCGCTCTGTTTTCAAATTTTCGCACTGAAAGTCACGCTTTTGACTTTCTACTTTTTTTCTTTTGGTTCACTGAACGATGTGCTATTAGTAAAATCCCAATCTAAAATGATTTATCCCAACCCAAAAATCGTTTCATGGGCCCTTTAAACAAGACGAAAAAGGGGAGACCCCTTTTTCTCGCACTGTCCTTTGTGTAATCCGGACACATCCATTCTCCCCCTAGAAGATTAGCCCGTCGCTCAAAATTCAGACAAAAGTTGCTTTCCCCACCCCGTTCATTCCGAAGCTGGCAGTGGTGTTGAAGCTACGTAATCGTTGGGCCAGCCACACTTGCCACGTGAGCGTGGCAAATGTGGCTGCAGAGAATGAAGTCAGGTGATGAAAGGGAGGCGGCTGGTTGGTCCGGCAAGCGCGTAGCTTCCACCACAATGTCAGCTTAGGGGTGAAGGGAATAAGTGAGGTCCGGTTGCGTGTGACGTCAGTTTGGACCCGATGATGCGCTTTTGGGACCGCGGATGTATCACAGTGAAAAGGCAGAGAGGTCGCGAAGGGGAGGAGGTACGAAATAGTCCGCTCTGTTTTCAAATTTTCGCACTGAAAGTCAGGCTTTTGACTTTCTACCTTTTTTCTTTTGGTCCACTGAACAATGTGCTATTAGTAAAATCCCAATCTAAAATGATTTATCCCAACCCAAAAATCGTTTCATGGGCCCTTTAACTTTGTTTGCAGAGTACGGCGCTCCGTGACATCCAGTTGTCCGTCGAAACGGACCTCCTTCACGTCTTACACGCGGCCAGATTAATGAAAACGTTTTCTCTTCGTCATATTGGCACCACGGAAGAAGCTTCCAGGTTTCGTAACCGCCTTAAACCCCGTCGTAATCACCCCGGGAACACTGTCCGCTGTGCTGCTAATCGCCACTGCTTCCCCCCGATGATTCTGCACCGGCTAACGAAGAAGCTTTCCGGATTCGTAGTCGCCCACTGCCCCCTGTGCTGTTCGTTACTATTACTTCGCGATGATTCTGAGCCGGCGGCACCGGCTTCCGAAGGAACTTTCCGAACTCGTAACTGCCTTAAATTCCGTCGTAATCACGACGGGGACGCTGTCCGCCGTGCTGTTCGTCGCCATTGCTGCCCGATGCTCCTGCGGCGGCTACCGCCAGGTCGCGGCGAACAATAGGCGACCGCCGCGACACGGCCGGCTTGCTCGCTTCCTATAATTTACCGTGCGCCCACGAACCAGGGGGAAGCCTTCAAAACTCGCCTCTCATCTCGTGCATAAATGACTGGAGTGCATTACCGGACTCCCTTGTAACAGTCATTGTTCATTCCTTATTTATAACAGCGTGCACTCAGCATGCTTTTTCTAATTAAAATGTTGCAAATAATTGTTTAATATGACTGTTCTGTTTTCTTGTTTTCTTTCTTTTGATAAACCTTACTTTGCGTCTGAATGTGCTATAAATGACCCCCCTTATGTAATGCCCCTCGGGGCCATTAAGGCATAATAAATGAAATGAAATGAAAGTGACTTTATAAAACGGCTCGGTAAAGTATCGCACTACAATTCACCACAGACGTGCCTGAAGGTGGTGGAAGCATCGCATAAAAATGTTTAAAGGATAAGCTTACCTGAGCAAAATGTTTTAAAAAACGCAGAAACAATAACTGATTATTTATTTATTTATTTATTTATTTGTTTATTTTTACTTTCGGCGCCCGTTTACTATTTACGCACCCTTTGACTGGCGCCACAGCCGACAGATGGCGGCAGCGGCCCCGGCGTCAGCTTACCGCCCGGTCGCGCCAAAAGTAGACGATGTTTTCGAATCATAAACGGTATAACACATTAAGTAGACACACATACACACAAAAATGAAACCGACGGTTCGTCGAATAATTTCAGCTACACGTATTCTGCTTTTGGCTCGACCGAGGAGGGCCCATCTCACACCACGGGGAGGAGGAGGAGAAGCGTTGTAATAGAGGTTGGGGGGGGAAGGAGAGAGCCAATAGTGTGTGCGTTTGCAATGTAATGCCGGACGGATCCCGCGCCGATTGGTCGCAAGTGCGCATGCGCTGCATTGTCGGGTGACGAGGAGGAAAGTAGGCGTACAGGCGGCAGACTATCGAAGCCTTCGTCACCTCCTCGCAGCTCGTACTGCAAACGTGGCCCATAAACCACGTGACCTCGATAGAGCAGCTGAAAACTCTTTGTAGTACGGGCTCTCTAGGCTGACGCCGGGGCCCCGGCCGCCATCTGTCAGTTGTGGCGCCAGTCAGAGTGTGCCTGGATAGCAGACGGGCTCCGTAGGCAAAGAAAATCAGTTATCGTATTTTTTTTACTGCTTATTTAAATAAGATTTTTCTTAAATATATTTTGGTTCGATGATTTTACCACCTTCGGGTACCTCTATGGTAAATCCTAGCGCGATACGTTATCCAGACGATTTATGGGCTCACTTTTAAATGCTTTCCCCGGATTTGTAGAAACGCAGGGCGTGTCAAGTTCGAACATCTTATTATTGCACCGTGGTCACTAAAACTGCGCCATTAGCCGATAAGAACGCCGATCAACAGACTCGCGAGGCAAAAAGCTTGAATATATTAAGCCACTTCCTGCTTGTCTTAAAAGACACGCCGTCAGCGAAAACTTTTGCAGTATACGAGCATGAGATTCGACGTATCCGATGGAACTTCACTGCCTTCTTACTGCAATGCATCTTGCCACACGCCAAAGTAAAAAAAAAAGAAAAAAAAAAGGAAGTTTGAGTTTATTTGTTTGGCTCACAAACATCTATCATTCTCAGGATGTCCTTCGTCACACATGGCGTTTTTCTAAGTGGCCAGTTTATCGTAATCGCTCTGTTTTTTTTTTCTTTTCTTCTGTGACATGTATACAAGAATGTTCTACAGAGTGCGGAAATACGAGCAGGCAGAGTAACACTATGAACTGGTACAAAAAAGAAATGAAAGCCGTTTACAACTTCCTGTAACGCCGAATTGGAGCGCAGCTCTTAAGGAGGAGGGGAAGGGTACTGAGGGGAGGGTATACCCCTCCTCCCTCCTCCTCCTCCCTCGGAGGAGAAGTAGCTTATAATCCTGCCTTCTCTCCTCCTTCTCCTCTGAAATATAGAATCACAAGGTCACGTGACCCCCTGGGGGGGGGGGTCACGTGACCTGGGGGGGTCATGTGACCTAACGGTTACGCCGACGGCGACGCCGACGCCGCTCAAGCCGGAAACGGGCGCCTAAGAGCTGCGCTTTAAAAGAAATGCAACGCGGAGACCGTCACGAACTGCGACGTCTTTATATTATCGCAGTGTGGCAGCAGGCTCCGTATCCCTAGCGAAAAATCCGGTATGACTTTTCACGATCCGGATTATGGAACCAGAAATTTGTTTCTGGAAACGCGAAATCCAGATTGCAGACAAAGGAATAATTTCTGAAAAACTAGTGCTGGGCGTCGATTAAAAATTTTAACCCGATTAATCGCCACCCTTTAATCGATTAATTAATCGATTAATCGGTTGCGTTGATTTTTATAAATAATATACTAGAAAGAGTGGCAACAACTCGTCTTGCCTTTGAAGGCTTATTTTACTCTCTGTTACACCGCGCAAAGAACATTTAGTGTTGAGGATACAGAAAGTTCAACGATTCAAAGACGCACATATTTTTGCTCCAGCTCCGAAGACGAAGAAGTTTGTCCACATTCTCCGACAGGAAGACAAGAAGTCAGGGCTTGGGCGATGCTTTCTGCCTTTTTCAGAAAAAGGGGCCTCGATGAGAAGGCGTTGATTGTTGTCTGCGCTTTGGCGGATGGTCCTTGCTGCAGTTACATGGATGCTTCGATCGTAGGCGATACTGAAGCGAACTTCCGCTTCCACTGTTCGAAAACGGCTTTTTGCAGATGATTCAGTGGACTTCCTTCCAGTTAAAAACTTCACCGCTAGAGTTTACTTTAAGCCCAAACTTTCCAGCAAGATTGCCTTCCATACTCGTGAACTCGTTCATTTTTAAGGGCCGGATAATGGAACAAGTAACCATGGCGTTGTTAGCTTCCCAGCTGGTTTTTCTGCTTCGTTGTCTTGCCTGAGCAGGATGTGTAATAGATCCTCAACACGTGAAATTTCGCGGTCGCGCGGAGATCAATTGCGGGCCCGGCTTGTTCGTCTGGCCTCGGCAGAACTGTAATGTATATCTTCGAACACGTGACGCTTCGCGAGCGCGAGAATTGAATCTTGCTCATTGCACCTTGCTGGGAACGGAAAACCACTCTGGACAGAACGACGAGATACACACCACACAGCGCTTTCCTTAGAAGGGGGGGGGGGGGGGGGGGGGGGGGCATAAGTCACCCCTAGTTCGGGCAGGTCGCCCAGGATAGAGCCATGCGTGCGTCCAGTTGACTTCGTTTTCAGTACCGATTAAATCACCGATTAACCGGTTAAAAAATTGATCGCGGTAAAAGCCTTAATCGATTAATCCGAAGGTTAATCTATCAATTTCCCAGCCCTACGAGTGAAAACCTAAATTCCAGATAGGATCCGGATAGAATCCGGATAGATTTCCGGTTCCATAATCTGGATAGCGAAAAGTTATACCGGATTTTTTTTTGGTAGGGATGGCTTAGCATTAAGCGCCCCTGGCGGCATTTGGCCTCCTTCAGTCGCAATCACATGGTTAATACATCGTAATACTGACTGTCTGCAGACGGCGACTCAGGCGCATTCCTTTCTTGTATGACGGCCCTGTCATCTCGGTCATACAAAAACTGCCCGCAAACATGTTCCAAACGTACATACACGTGTATGAAGCTAAGATGATCCGAAGATGGTTGTTGAGGCGTGTCCGCCGCAGATCATTCGGTCATCATGTCTTCATGCAGCGAACGAAGAGCCCGCGCCTTTTGTACGGTGTACTCATGGCTTGTATTGCCGCTGACCCGCTCCAGGAAGTTTTGAACTACAACATCCGGACCACGGTCAGGACGGTGCCCTTCTTCGCGCAAGCGGACCCGGAGTTGGTGGCTGACCTGGTACTTCGGCTGAAGCCCGAGTTCTTCCAGCCGCGCGACGTGATTGTCAAGCAGGGCACTGTCGGGCACAAGATGTACTTCGTCCAGGCCGGCAGAGTGAGCGTCACCATGGACGACGGCCAGGTCGTCGGGACCGCGTCGGAGGGAACTCATTTCGGAGGTACTAACGGCATCCAATAGCGCTCTATACTAAGTGAGCTCGTTTGCTAGAGCGCTCCACTGGAAACGGAGAGGCCCCTGATTCGATACTTGGACCAGGAGGATTTTTACAGTCGCGCACCAGTCGCCCAGCTGTGTTGGGAGATTTCTGTTTGTCCTTTGTCCCCTTTGTTCCCATTTTCCAGGGATTATTATTGTTATTCTTGTCCAGCTCGCTTGCATCTTTGCACTAATTGCATTAGCATGATAGTCCGCCATAGAAGTATTTTTTTTATTATTATTTGGGCATTCCAAATTCTACGCCAAACGTCCCAGGGTGATTCTACGTCAGTTCATGCAATTATGGTCCGGGTCATAATTTAGATATTTTTGTTAAAAATATATATGAAAGCCATGTTCTTGGGAGGAACATTCAGCTAGATATTAACGCCGTAACAATTTTTTTCGCTGAGAAATAAAATAGAGAAGCTTGAGGCGTGGAAATTGAGAAGATTTCACAATGCTACTTTGCACAGTCGTCATTTCCTTATCGAACCTTTCACGGCACAATAACTTTTTTAATAGGTTTTACAAAGGTTATACAACACATACGTAAAAAATTAAAAATATCCATAAAATATTTCAATGCAAACAAAAATATCAAACATGGCACAAAAACGCGTTTTAGAGACATATTCACTATTTTTTTGCAAATAAACCATCTTTCATAATACTTCACAAAACATATCAAAATGCGCGTATTTAAATATTCTTTACGAATATATAAAGATAATATGCCCACCCTTAAACATATTTTTGTTATCAACGCGGAAATTCGGCTGATTTCTCAAAATGTGGCAAGATTGGGCGTCGATATTTAAAAAACTCCATCTTTTATTTTATTTAAACTCCCCTTGGCACTTTGCAGTGACTTGAACTAACCTGTGATGGCAAAATATTGAGTAACATATGACCTCCAAGCGGGAAAAGCTACGACAAACCTTCACTCGGAGCGAGCCGACGTCTTCGTCATAGCGGCTTTGCCGCACAGCACCAAACGTTTGGGCGTTAGTTATGGCATGTATTTTATATTATTAAAATTCTTTTTTTATACGCGGTGAGTATTAGTGACGTGAAAAGGAGCTTTGAGCTGGAATGCCATTAATTAGCTTACAATTCACAGGAATAAAACGGCCCCACTCTGCAAATTCGCTACCTATGCATCATACATAAGCTTAAAACTCTCAGTTGCGCGAATGGCCATGTACACATCTGGCCTCTCGGCATATGATGACTTTCACAGATGAGTTTCCTGGATTCCTTTGACAGGTTTTACGGTGGTCCACTTTGCTTGCTTCACCGCACGAAACTCTCGAACTCGAAGACAGTTGTGAGCACTGCGCAGAGTGGTTTGACGCGTTTTGCGAAGTGCTGAAGGCATGTAGTTCCCACCAGGAACGCAAGCGATTGTACGTGCTTCTGCCACCAATCATCCTGAAGAAAACAATACTGCGTCTGGTGTCGGGTGCGACTGCCTACATGATTGATCAAACATGAAAACTGAAGCGCAAAGGTGGTGTTTGGGCAACCCCTGATCCCTACATGGGGAAGAAGGCGAATGCCGAAGACGTGGGGGTTACAATTGAGTACTACACACGCGACGACCTCGCATGCTCTGTTCAAAGCCCCGACAAAAAGGACGTCGTCAAAGCCATGATCAACAACATGTTCAAAGTCGTAAAAAGGTTTATGACCCGCTCTATTAAGGAAGCTTACCAGCTGTTTAGTAAGGACCATCCCCAACCCGAACTAGGCATCTCCAAATTTTATTCCCTACGACCAAAATGGGTAAAAAAAAGTCACGAGCACGAGGTGTGCGCATGCATATATTGCGTCAATTTTCAGTTGCTTTTAACGGCAATAACAAATGCCCCAAAGAAGATATTTACTGAAGACGACCTCACGCGCATCTACCTCTTCTGCGCTCCACAGAACGATTGCTTTCTGCGCCGTTGCGAAAAGTGCCCAAAAACGCAGAGCATCTCGCTGCAGTCGCTTCATCTCGACGAAGACGAAGAGATCTGTTTCGCGTTATGGGACGCTGGCGAACTCGTCAAAAAGGTTATGGACACTTCTGCCTTCCTGCGGCAATAGGAGAGCGAAAGCATATGAGGCATTCTTACATCCTGGACCTTGAACGAAGCCTGATACATGACATATGAACCACCTTACCACCCAAGGCAGTGATGTTCCACTTCGATTTTGCGGAAAAATGGACAGTATTCTTTCCAATCGAAGTGCAGAGTTTTCATTGAAAAAAAACTCAAGTGTCTCTCTCCACAAGTGTGGTTACGTCCACGCAAGGCACGCAACACTTTGCCGTTGTCACCGATGGTACACGACACATGACACAGCTCACGCTCCTCTAGCCACATAGGCCATAAAAGAGTATGTTAATGTTCGTTTCCCAGTCTTTTTTTAAATAATTTTTGCATCAGACGGAGCGGCGGCGCATTTCAAGAATCGCTTCCAATTCCACGAATTGTCTCGGAAGCCGCACTCTTCGGCAAGATGGATCTTTTCAGCCACTGGACACGGAGAAAGCGCTTGTGATGAAGTAGGCGGAAGAACCAACGCTTACCAAGTTGAGATCTTCGCTCAACTCAACAATTGCCACCGCTAAAGACTTTGTGGAAGCGCTACGTAAAAAAGTAACAAATGTCTGCATGTTCCACCTGTCTGTGGAACGGGTTCGAGAGTTTCGTGCGGTAAAGCAAGCAGAGTGCACCACCATAAAACCTGTGAGAGGAATCCAGGCTTCTCATCTGTGGAAGTCATCATATGCCGAGAGGCCGGATGTTTTAAGCTTATCTATGCATAGTTAGCGAATTCGCACAGTGGGGCCGTTTTGTTTCTGTGAATTGTAAGCTAATTAATGGTATTCCAGCTCAAAGTCCATTTTCGCGTCACTAATACTCAGCCCTTATGAAAAAAAGAATTTTAATATTATAAAATACATGCCATAACTAACGCTCAAAACGTTTGGTGCTGTGCGGCAAAGCCGCTATGACGAAGACGTCGGCTCGCTCCGAGTGAAGGTTTGTCGTAGCTTTTCCCGCTTGGAGGTCATATGTTACTCAATCTTTTGCCATCACAGGTTAGTTCAAGTCACTGAAAAGTTCCAAGGGGAGTTTAAAGAAAATAAAAGATGGAGTTTTTTAAATATCGACGCCCAATCTTGCCATATATTGAGAAATCAGCCGAATTTCCGCGTTGATAACAAAAATATTTTTAAAGGTGGGCATATTATATTTATATATTCGTAAAGAATATTTAAATACGCGCATTTTGATATGTCTTGTGAAGTATTATGAAAGATGGTTTATTTGCAAAAAAATTGTGAATATGTCTCTAAAACGCGTTTTTGTGCCATGTTTGATATTTTTGTTTGCATTGAAATATTTTATGGATATTTTTAATTTTTTATGTATGTGTTGTATAACCTTTGTAAAACCTATTAAAAAAGTTATGATGCCGTGAAAGGTTCGATAAGGAAATGACGACTGTGCAAAGTAGCATTGTGAAATCTTCTCAATTTCCACGCCTTAAGCTTCTCTATTTTATATCTCAGCGAAACAAATTGTTACGGCGTTCATATCTAGCTGAATGTTCCTCCCCAAAACATGGCTTTCATATATATTTTTAACAAAAATATCTAAAATATGACCCGGACCATCATTGCATGAATTGACGTGGAATCACCCCCCAGACGTTGTGCTCGACCATTTTCAATTTTTAAAAGAAAGTTCATGGCTTTTAACTTCAGTGGACATATTCTTTTCCTCAAATATTTTCGCCAAATTCTTTTTCTTCTTTTAACTTTTAAAATGGGTGTGAAACTAGGAATTATCCAATAAATGATGAGAAATCGTTTTTTTAAGCGCTTCACAATTTATATTTTGAAATTCGAACGGCTCTTACCTTGCTATGTTGTGATGATTATGTAATTTGTTGTTGTTAAAATATATCTTTTAACAAAATGCAAAAATATTTAAAACATTTCTTAATTGTTTTGTTTATTATTTCTTTGCTCCTGGCAATTATAAATATTGTTATTGGAAGCCCCGTAGATGTATTACAAATAAAATGTCGGAAACCGCACTACTAACTACATCACATAAAGACAAATTATAACTTATAAGAGATTCCGTTTTGCTGCCCAAACAGCCGTTTATTTTACCCTGAGATGGTGCAAGTAACAATAGGAAAAATAACGATTTTAGAAAAAGAGTTTATTGCCTTTGATTTCTAAAAGTTTAATCAATTTTTTTTTCTAAAGCGAGAAAAAAAAATATTGAAGTTGAGCTCCCTCGTCACGACCTGAACCTGGCAATGTTTCTTAGCGCCTCTTCACCGGACAGCACGCCACATGACACGAGAGCTATCTATACCCGTTTTCACCTAAAAAAAAAAGGACGCTTTGCTCCTTGTTCATACGCCGTGCGAAGTAGTTCTTACAAGATTTGGTTGTTGGAGGCAGAAGCGATGCTTTTGGCGTTTGAAACGTGTACGTCTCGATAAGGTAACATGTATCTAATCTAAAATGCACCAACATATATCTCAATTCTCAGCATAAAGAGGAAAATTAGTAGTGCTCCGCGGGAAACCGTACTTTTTTTACTACGGTTCTTGAGGTGAAAACGGGTATAGAGAGCTGAATTAGAGCTGAGAAGCTTTGCGCGCACGCAAGGCAATTGCTGGTTGTGAGCCGTGGCCGGCCTGGGCGACCTAGACGACCTCATAGGGCGCCATCAAAAGGAAGGCGCCACCTTGCCCCACGTTTTTAATTTTTTTTTTTTTTTTGCTTTTTGATTTATTTGAAAGCGGCACCCGACACGACACATCATGCTCGGTCGCCGTTCGCTTTTGGAATGCGGTTGTCGTCTGACAAAACGCTCGTGTTGGGCCACTCTTCACGTGTTTACCAAAAAAGTGATGTCGTACCTAATAGACAGGGGCGTATAAAAAGGAAAGGAGGGGGGGGGGGGGGGGGACGCCGCGGCTGGAGTTCGCCCGGGGCATTTGATAGTGCAGGGCCGGCTCCGGTCGTGAGTGTGATAATGTTATACTGACATTTTTTACAATCGCATAATTGGAGACAACATTCATCTTTGTTTGCCCGAGTCCATGGTACAGAGCCTTGTAAGAGCTGTGGCGCAATACAGATTCCCGAAAGTGTCTGTGCCCAGGAGGATTTGTCCTTCCAGTCATGAATTGGTATCACGTGTCCTTGTAATAATAAAAGTAAGAAAGTTCATTATTAAGTTTATTGTTTTCAAATGCACATGAAAGTGAATTTAATACGGTATAGGAGAGGACCTCATAGGTATTGAAGCGAATTAAAACAGATACTACTAGATTCTCAGATTCTTGTTCTGGACAGGTGCAAACGTGAGAGCTGGGGTACGTGCTTCGTTATACCTCGCACTTAGCGAAAAGCGCAAGCAAGCCCCGCATGAGGTTTAAAGTGCAAACAAGCCCCGCATGAGGCTCTCGAGCGTAGATGTACATGTAGCGCACTTAATTTTTAATGTGTCGGAGGTCTCACTACCTGTCGTGCAGCGTCGGACTTTCTCGCGTGCAGAGCGATGCCTGCTGACGAAGGCGAGGCGTCGTGCGAACGTAATCGCCGAGACCTACTGCCATCTGTTGTCCCTCTCGGACGATGACTTTCACCAGGCGCTCGACGGACGTCCCTTGATGAAGAAGGCCATGGAAGAACTCGTCAGGGAACAACAGTCGAAGCAATCCGTCGCTGTGCCCGACTGATGGACACATGGAACTCCGTTGGGTGGCGCTTTTTGATGACGTGTGCTTTTCCACCTTTGTGTTTGTCTTGTCTTGTGTTTGTAAAAAATGTTTAATGTTAACTTGTTATCGAAGCTTGTTTTGTTTGTGCTAGAAAAAAGTGAACATACAACAATTGTCGAACGTTTGTAGTCACAACGACATGGTCTACTTTGAACCTAGCTCAATATGGCTGGCTTACATCTGGAGGTTGGAATTTCAGTTGTCTTTGAGAAACTCGTTTTGAGATCGATAAAACAATATCGTTTTCAGAAAGCAAACAAAACAAAGGTGCCGATTTAGGAAGCATCCTATTAGCATGACCTCCTTGTGTTTATTCTCTAATGGTGCGCACCATAGTCTGACTATGTGTGTCTCAGAAAAGTTATTTCGAAATATTGAAACGTGCATGCAATAAAATATTACATTAAATAAGGTGGCCTCTCAGGTAGTCTGCTCTGCACGCACGTATGTCACGTAAATACATTAATTGTTATTTAAAATATCAGTCTAGGCACTTTGGAAATAAGCTCACTGGTTCACCAGGCGGCACAAGTGAACTACCACACTCCACCAAATTCAGACTTCTGCGAAAGCACAAGGTCAGCGGCGGAAAATGAATTTCTGCGTATATGAACATATGAGCGCCACCAATTGATGATGTTATCATTGACTGTTGCTAGATGACGATTTCCTTTAGAAGCGCCTATTAAAAATGTTAGCCATTTCGGCTGGAAGATTTTTATAGCTAAATAGAAATCCTAATATTGAGGGTCCACTTAGGACACGATATTTGAGAATGAATATTCTAAAAGACAGTGCCAGTGGCAAGATATACCGACAAGCTTTATCTTGAGTACAAGCACGGGACAGACGAATTTAAAGTAAAAACAATTTGTGCTGCACCCACCACTTCTACGTTAAGGCCCGTTCACACTCTTGCGACCGAGTACGACTGAGAGAGACGAGATCTCTTACAACTTCTTAAATGTTTCTAGAATGAGGGAACACACTGACGTTGTGGCGCCATCTATGCGGTGACCCTAGGACTGCATTTCACAAAAGCGAAGGTTTTGCGGGATTTCTGAGGTCAAATGTGCGTAATACCCATAGAAAGGCTCGTTTCTAACATCGACAAAAGCTTTTCGAGCCAAAAAAGAAAGGATATTGCGCGAGAAATAAAAAAAATATGCCGGACCGCCGAGTTTACACTGCTTCCCAATAGATGGCGCCAGTGTGTTCTTTGGTTTAAGAAGTTTTAAGGAACCCAGGTTTAAGAGGTCGCAAGCAGTCGCAAGAGTGTGAACCAGAGTGTCGAACCGATATTTTTATCGGTTCGGTTCGGGTTCGGGTTCACGGCTTTCGGTTCAGTTCCGGTTCAGTTCCGGGGCGCAAAAAATAACGGTTCAAACCGGTTCGAACCGGTTCGAACCGGTTTGAACCGCTAAACTGATAAAATATTTTCCGCTTTGTTCTGTCATATGCACTATTTAGGCCGTGAAACTAACTGCGGTAAACGATCTGATTTTTGCGAGGACTTATTTTTGAGAATTTCGCGAATCGCCTACAATCCGCGAAAAATGGGTCCCGCGAAACATTTCGGTAAAATGTAAACAGATTGAAATTTATATTGAGATTCCACCTCGTCGAGAAAATTACAACCCGCGAATTATTCCGAAACTTCAGCTTTGACCTAAATCGCGAAATATTGAGCCCACGAAAAATAAGCCGTTTACAGTATATAGATTTCTTATTTTTTTATCGTTTGTTCAATCCAGTTTTGTTTTCAGGTACAAAAATTATAAAATTCTGTTATTTATACCTACACAACAAGAAAGGAAAATCTACATTAACATACAAAACGTCGTGTATATACGACTCAACATTCCTTCGTTTGCCAGAGTCACATACATTGGACCTGAATCGAAATGTTTTCGCGAAGTGAAGTAGGTTGCCTGAAATACCCGTGATTGGTACAACTTTGTATCGCAGTATTAGATGTTGATTCGTGGTTTTGCCCTTGAACTAAGGAATTCATTACAGTGAATAAAATCATGAAATGGGCAGTTCGTCGCCATATACACCATAAAATGTGTTTTATGGAATACGTTTCACAATATATATATATATGATGACGAAACGACTGAACTCAAGGCAATATAATTTTCAAGATGTCACGAAAGTCACGGGACAAGTCCTTCCAGTCTATATTTTACAGAAACACTAAGCGACAATCGCAATGCTTGTTTTTCTAACTAGCATTGTTTGCTCTCAGCAGCATGATGCGGGCGACGAATCATGCGAAAAAGAGTGGCTGAAATTATTCACTCTAACCTATGAGCACCTTCGTACTGAGATCGAATCTGACCTAAAACAGTGCTTACCCATGTGAACATTTTCTTATATTGGATAAACTGGCATAGCCTGGTTCTTGAGGTTTGCTCTTGACAAAATGCCGGTCAATTTAATTTGCAAATAAGCATCACCCTCGCTAATTGATGATTTTTGTTAAATAGAACAAAGTGGAATTTCATGCTCTACTCAATTCGGAAGCTACTTAATTGGACACTTTCTGAGAGTTTAAGTGTGCAATCGTCATAGTTCCACCATTCGTTCCAGTAAAAAGAGGCGATAATAAAAACACATAAAAAACGCAATAATAAACTTCTATATATTTGAGAAGTTATATATGCGTGAGGAATACATATAATTATTTAAATTAGCTTCAAAAAAAAAAAAAACATTATTTAAAGCTTTTCCAAATCACCTATAACGTGTCTATTGAGGATAAAAGCGCCGGAAAAGATTTGCAGAACATCTTTCAGATTTACCTATATATCTTTGAGGTGACGATCTTCTATTTATGCTGCCAAATCTTCAGACAGGAATTAAGTATATCTTTATTATCATCGATAAATTGGACTTTATGAATTTCACATAACCGCCTGAGGCCGACACGGAAGGACGATACTCGAAAATACGCCAGCTGTTGGGTCTTCGGAAACGTGCTTTTGTTAGTTGTTTTGCAGTGTAAAATACTGGGTTGCAGGGTATGCAAAAGAAACTGTGGTCACATGATATATCTGAAGGCAAATACACGAAATGTGCTGAAATAAGGAGATGACACGCAATTTATTCTAAATAATCCCTTACACAACGCTTTACTGCAAAACGAGATGCATAGAAATGCATAAAATGATATTCCTAATTCAACATAGATTCCGCGCAGGGCAAACGAAGATTTTTAAAATCCTAATATAAATCACTTTTGGGCATCAGCTTGCCTCAGCTCGAAACGTCGCGAGATACTACCTCGGGAGGCTAATGTTATCTTAGGTTTTACGTACACTTGTTTTGGGACCTTACTTCACGACTCTGTTCTTTATCAGTCATGTGCTGCAACATTTCATTAGGCTGCCGTATATCATCGTTTGGGAGCCTCAATGGTGTGCATACATGTAAAATGGGTCGTGCAGCATTTTTTTTTTTACCTTAAGTTCAATAAATACCGCTAAGTTGTAATCCCTGACGTTTATAACTTGCAAAAGAATCCATTAGTTTGCCCCTCCGCGAAATTGCAGACGCAGTCAAAAGAAAGAAATGAAACAGCTTTCCCTCCTCAACTCGCAATTAGAACTATCAGCCACGTGATCTGATCCTAATATATGCACCGTCAATGTTTATCATAGTCCTACGCAGGGTTGGGAAAGCAGAGAGCATGGGCTAATCTTCAGGTATAGTTTTAGTTCGGCTATAATGGGGCCCGAGCCCCACTAAAGCGACAAACAGAAACAAACGACAGCGGCTAGCCTTAAACCAGAGAATTTCGCGATTTGACAGGCTTTGTAGAATAAAGAAAGCTATGCCAAAACACGAGTATCCTTCGCACAATGGTACCATTTGCAGGCTTGTAAACACTCGTGCAAACTTCGCGAGCACCGAACAACTCAAAGCCGTATAAAGGTACCATCGCGAACATGCTGCATGTGTCTGAGGCATGTCGCTTTCGTTTGTTTCTGTTTCTAGCTCTTGTGGGACTCGGGCCCATCATAATTTTTGAGTTGAACACGAGCCGTTACCCGAATGTTTGGCGATACTGGTTGTCATGAACCAGGGCATTCGACTCGGGATCATGACAATCGAGTACATCATGGTGTCACGTGACTCTCAGTGCGACGTTGTGATGTCATGTGACGTCACGGTATCAACAACGTTAATAGATCTAGCGACGTTCTCAATTTGAATCGACTTAACGCGGTGACTCACGTGACGTCACGGGGTCACGTGATGTGACATTACTTGACAGCATGTCTTAACATCATGACGTCACGTGACGATGTGACACATGGCTAGTCATAGTGCCAATAAGAAAGCGCCGCAAAAAACCAGGATTTATTATACATTGCAATTCTGTATATGACGATTTGATCAATACGTAGAGGAATACACGTGCCAATTTTTTATTCCCAAATAATAAATTTGTAATACTACCAAAAAAAATACCGTGAACCGTTTTGAACCGGTTACCGTTATATTTTTTTCCGGTTCAGTTCCGGTTCAGTTCCAAGATGGCGGCGAAGATTTCGGTTCGGTTCAGTTCCGGTTCGGCTAAAAATAACGGTTCTGTTCCGGTTTTCGGTTCGGTTCGGTTCCGGTTCGACACCCTGGTGTGAACGGGCCTGGCGCCATCTATTGGGAAGCAGTGTAAACTCGGCGGTCCGGCATATTTTTTTTTATTTCTCGCGCAATATCCTTTCTTTTTTGGCTCGAAAAACTTTTGTCAATGTTATAAACGAGCCTTTCTATGGGTATTACGCACATTTGACCTCGGAAATCCCGCAAAACCTTTGCTTTTGTGAAATGCAGTTCTAGGGTCACCGCATAGATGGCGCCACAATGTCAGTGTGTTCCCTCATTCTAGAAACATTTAAGAAGTTGTAAGAGATCTCGTCTCTCTCAGACGTACTCGGTCGCAAGAGTGTGAACGGGCCTTCATACGCTTTACAAATGCGTCAGATTACAGCCGCCATTGCTGACCTTCTCTTGTCCTACCCGGATGCCGAGCCAGTGAAGTGGGCGTTGAGGAGCCTCCACAAAGGCTAATACTGGGGGGGACACAGTAGAATCTAAAATGGCAAAATTCTGACCTGCGGAGTGGTAATGATGAAGGGAAGTAAACCTAATAAGAGGATTAAAAAAACTGAAGCTTGGTTATGGCGGCGCCCATGCACAGCTGCTGTAAAACCTATTGGCATTATACAGGGTGTCCCAAATAACTTGCACCAAAGATTACAAAAAAAAACAAAAAAAAAACGGAGTGCTTTGCTAAAGTGATACCAACTCTCTGTTGTTTAGAAGCGTTGTGGGAAAGTGCACATTTTTTTTAGTCCGTCTAGTAATTAGTTAAGTAAGAATGATTAGCTTATTTTTTTTAATTATTCGTTTAACCCTTTCCCTACCATGGACGACCTAAGTTTGTCCACACTGTTTGTACCGCTCCCCCCGAAGACAAGCTGGGCTCGTCCACGTTGATTCAGGCTCCAATACGCTACCATGGACGAACTGGGGTGCTATGTTGTGCTTTTTGGACCCCTAGGAGACT